GCTTAAGATGTTCTTCCATGATTTGAGTGTCTTCATGATCTGGCACAGGGATGGTGTCATTTTTTCTTGACCTCCGTCATTCTAAATAGTATAGAGTAAGCATGTCTTTAGCAGCCACGACATCCATAAGGAATATTTTCTTCCATGACTCAGCTACTTTTTTTACCTTTTTCTTGTAGTTGTCCCCATGATATACAAATTTTGATCCATATATTCTGTGTGTTATTGGAACAAACTGGTGTGCCCCATACTGTCAAAGTGCCAAAAGTGGAGAATATCTGACTCCTCCCTATAATCCAAGTAATGTCACAGTTTCTGAGTCTCCACATCAGAAAAGAATATCACTATAGGTTAACTAGGAGGCTCTCTAAACAATATCTCTATCATGAAAGTGTGTGAATACTTTCATCCATTTTTCTTTTGGGACGCCTTTTTGACATTTCAAGGTAAGGAATTCCCCCAAAGAAGAATAAGTGGTGTTGAATCGGCGGTAAGAAATCTCGTTAGTCTTCCAGAAGTGACTATGAATCCAAACTTGAAGAAGTTGTGTGCACCCTATAAATCTTCCTTCGTCAGGCTTTCTGCAGTGGTTGAGTGAGCGAAAGGTTTCAGCTAATATTGTCACCTCAATATATCCCAAATTCTTTGGAAGATAACCAAACCATAAAGGCCCAATGCGAAAAGATTTATCACCTTCCATTCATCGGGATGACTCTTCATTAGTTGCTTGATATGGGCACAAGAAATTTCTTCCCCATTACCTTTGTATTGAATCCGGTCAGTTACTCATTTATCATCTATCCCCGTAACTTTTGCCAGCCTATTCTTAAAAGGCTGACTTTTGATGTGCTTGATGTAAACCCGATCCATTCTGATTCCCTTGTAATGTAGCAAAGTATTATATTCTTCAATTGTAGGTACCATGTCTTATTGGTTAAACGTGAAACAATTGTACCCCGGATTCCAGAATTGTACTAGGGTTCGAATTAGGGGTTTATTTATCTTAAAATAGAGTAGAAGTGCAATATCACAATACCGCTGGCAGAACCTCTGTTTCTGGTCACTTTTCCAACTGTCCCAAATGCTTCGTAGTTCTTGAACATCATTCTACTTTAGGCTGATAGAAGTATAGCCAACCAGATCTGACACATATTTTCCTTGCAGACTGTCTCCCTTTTCTTTCTAAGTCTTTTTGGACCATAGTCGTACCTCAGCGTTTTTCACATCTTGCATTACAACCCCTTTGTCCATAATGCAGATTATTTGTGTAACGAACATTTTTTTTGTGGATCAATCACCTCTTTTTATGATGCAAATGATAAAAAAACAAACATGAAAGAAAAATCAGTTAGTAAGATAAAAAATAAAAGTAAAAAATGATCACTCAAATTGCATGCTTTGAACAGAAAGTAAAACATCCTAGGTTTTAAAGTGGAGTTTTGAGGTGGGCTCTAATTCCTTGTAGTCTCTCGGTTTAAGTTCTAAAGAAGGTACCCAAGTTCTCCTTGCTGGTGCCCCCTTGGGCTTGCCAGACCCTCAGTCCTAAGCCTATTACAAGCCTATGTGGACTAAGTTAAACTCGAGAGGATACATTCCCTTATGTCTATATGGAGAATAAATTCACACGAAGACACAAGGTATGTGAATCTCGCAGGCTACTTGTTAGGCCTATACGGAGAATAAATTCCCACGAAGAAGTCGCTTTCACCTCCACTTAAGAAAAGGTTTGGAGCTCTGGTATAGAGCCTAAGATGAAAATGTTTAATAAGATGAAATCATTAAAAAAACATCAGTACAACTATTTATTTGAAAAATAATCAAAGGTAAGTAATAAGGATCGAAAAATTAAATTCAAATTTAAAGTTACAATTTTCACTTAAGAAGACAACCGAAAATTAGCCTTAGTCTGACTCACTTACCTGTCCCTAGCAAAGTCGCCAAGTTATCGTAATCGTCTTTCGGATGGGCCTGAAATTGAGCTTCGACTTAAATAAATGGGTTAGAGTTGCCACTGATCATTTATCCTTAAAAATAAAAACTACGATAATTGGACACCTCGGTTTGTCTTCTTACCTGATCTGCATATTACCGAAATATGTCGGGCTCGGGAGTCAGTTACTGTCAAGAAAGGATTAGCACCCTTGTACTGCCCTTTCGGTACTAATTTAATTTTCAATTGTCTTAATTAAGAAAATTGCAAGTTAAATTAAAAGTAAAAATTCGATCCAAATTACTACCTCCGATCGATAAAAAATAGCCCTAAAAGGTAAAAAGATGTTAAACTATAAAATAAAATATTGACTAGATCAAAAGGAAAAATTAGCAAAAATTAAATTTTAATACTTTAAATGAAACAAAGAAAAAAGAAACACACACACACACACATATATATATATATGTCGAGAAATAAATGTAAATAAAATTAAAAGAATATAACACCAAAAATAAATAGAATAAACTCATGCCCAACAAGGGGTCGAATCATGTATATTAAGAAAACGTGGAATAAAAAATGTAAAGGGAAGAAAAAATTGAAAATTAATTAAATTAAAAATAAAAATTGTGATGCAAAAATAAAATAAAGAAAAGTAAGGGCGAATTTGATAAATAAAACAAAGTGCATGACAGATTTAAAAAGAAATTTTAATGAAATTTAGCAAAAGGGGTAAAATCAATTTTCAAGAAAAGTTTCAGGGACTAAAACCGTAGTTTGACCCTATCCATTGAAAACACGCGGATCCTGGGACTTTAAAACGGGTTCACGGGTCGACTATAAAACCCAACAATTCACAAACAAACTTCATTTTCCCCCTCCCCAAAATCGATCAAAACAGAAATTTTAAAAACCTCTCAATTGTTCTTCGTATTCTTCATGAAGAACATTCAACCTCAAACTCAGATTCTGGCCGGCACCACCTCGTCGGCCGCAGTTATTCGGCAATGAATTTTTTTTTACCTTTCGAAAGCCCTTTTCTTCCTTATCCCGAATATCCCTTTCATTTTCATAAAAAAGCCTCGGGGAGGGCTAGATCTAAAAAAACTTCTCGAAAACCCTCCCCCGATCATCGGTTTCGCCCTTTTTGTGGTTTTTTCGAGCCAAAATGAACACAAAACAAACCTAATACCAACATGCAAGTGAACAGCCGAGAAATGTAAAAAAATTATCTTTTTATCGCATTTCTTTTCGAAGTTTACAAGTGTTTTTTGCGTCTTTTTCTTCTTCTTTTTTAGAATAACATTGCATGTATTTATAGTCTTAAAGAACCCACTATTTTCGGTTCATCCTAGAGTTTCAATTTGACTGAAATGCTTCTTTATTTTGTTTTCTGTTTTGGCTTGATTCCCACGATGGTTTCGTAAAATTCGGGATGTGGGTGATGTGGCTGGAAGAAGGACTCTCTAGGAGCTCTAGATTTGCTTTCCGTTCGACTTTTAGATTGTTAGTTGATCCGACGGGCTAGGATGTGCGGCGTTGAAGGGAAAAGAGGCGTAACCCTATTTCCACTGGCGGGCTTCCCGTGAGTTGGGCTGGTCGATTGGGTCTTGTATTACTGGGCCTGTGCTGTAATTGGTTTCAGGTTGGGTTGTATGGGTTGTTCCTAACAAAAACAAAGGAAAAATATTAATTTAATAAAATAATAATATTAATTCGTTGCATGGACTCACAATTCCCGAGTGGCATGCATAATCCATATCGAAGATGGTCTCAAGGGAGGGCCGATCATGGCTCCGAAACTGCTGGCTCAAGTACACGAAAATATAGAGAGTAGTTGATGCTCATCATGAGAGTGGCAAGTGTAGGAGTGTCCGATTAACGGCCCCAGCAGCCGGTAGGACACATACGGAAAGGCGACTCCACCAGTTGATGTATGCTGAAAGAGACTACGAGCAGTGTCAAGGCTGCGATGGAAGCTGCAGACGGTGGAATGGGTGTACCAAGACTCATGTGACGATAGAGGGCAGAGGCTTGCAGAGAAAAAGGGTACTCAGTAGTGAATCTGAGGTGTAGAGACAGAACCAAGCTCCTGTTTGACACAGTTTGTGCCTTAACCAACATGTAATACGTAGTGTTCCATGCTGCCATTAGCTCAAAGGGCACCATGGCTGATCAGGTACCTTGAAAACAATTTCTTATAAGCAACTCAAAGATGCTTTCATTGTAGTGGTTTTAAATTAACAATGATCTGCATTCAAGAATATTTCATGAGACAAGATGGATGCAATTTGAATACACAAAGTGAAGAGGAGGAACTTGCACGATTCTTGATTGCAGCAACCGAAAGACGGGTCTCCGAAGCAAACTTTTGCTTTCTGCTTTTGGTTCTTGAAATTGTATTTTTTTTTATTAATCCTTCTCATGCTACTTCGGTGCGGGGTTTGAGGTTAGAATTGTGTACACTAAATAAGATGGGCTTGCTTTCAGATGTGACGAGGGTGTTTCGTGAAAATGGGCTATCGATAACCCGAGCCAAAATCGGGACACGAGGGGAGAGAGCCACTGGATCTTTCTACGTTAAGGATGCTTCGGGGGATGAAGCAAATCTGAGAACAGTGGAATTGGAGGCAGTGCAATTGGAGGCAATGAGATTGGGGGGTCTTCTTTGTTGGTATACAGATCTCCCGATGGGACTTCTAGAGCTTCTTCATCAAGTATTAGCAGAACCAGCAGTGGTGAAGTGGAAGAAAGGGCTAAGTTTTCATTAGGAAACTTGTGGTCTCAGCTTGTGAGATTTTCGGAAAATCTCGGTTTCAATAAATCATGAACAGATCCTAATCGTGTACACAAGTCATTATTTATGAAATATCAGGTCTCCTATTCTTTGACTTTTAACTAAGCTAATGCCATTGTTTGAAGCACTTACTAAGATATTCCACAAACTGTCCAATCAGCAAAAACAAAACATTGCTATTTATCTCATACCAGCTTAAATCCCTTTCCTGAACAAACAATAATATAAGATAGATTATGAATTTAGTGGACATAAATTACATTAATATTATTGCATTAACACGCTATTATCCAATTTCGACAAGGTTTTTTGTACAAAACACAGTTTCCAGAGCCTTAGCTCAAATTGAAAAAAACCATACACAATAAATTAACATTATTACAAGGAAGACGAAACTGAAATACAGATATTGCAAAGCTTATTGGTTCACATGATTTCTTCAATATCAAGCCAGTCATTTGATTCCTTGGTTTCGGGGTTTTGACTACGTACCTGCTCAGACCCAGAATGTTCATTACCAACACAGTTAACATCTTTAACCGAGTCCGTAGAGCTCCTGCCCAGCTGAACCCAGTCTCTTGAGTCTTTCATTGAAGAATCAGAACCAGATGTCACTTTTTTGTAACTTATTGGCACATCATCATCATCCTCAAGATCACTGAATGAAACATCTTCATCATTATCAAGAGGGACTGTTGTAGCACTTGTTCCAACTGCCTCCGAAGTTTCCTCTTTTAACCAGTCATCAGCATCATCTTCGTATTTCTCAATAGAAACTACAGAAGACCCGGATGTCAAATGTTGATGTTTGGCTTCTTTTATTGGCTCTTCCTCAATGACAGACTTGTCAATGACCTGCACCTCAGTACTCAGAACTGGGTGCTTTTCTGTTGGAATTTCAACAGCCACAGAAGTAGTGGCAACCTCAGTTTCAGATTCCTTGAATGGCACTGACTTAGATTGAGCTGAATAAGGCACAGAAAGAGACTCTTCATGTCGTAAATCAGCCTCTATAATTGAAGTGACACTTTCAGGATGATCTTCTGCAGTCTTAGCCTTTGCTAGGTGCTGTATCCCTTGCATTAACACTGCTCTTGCTTCAACTATCTGCATGCAGAACAGTTAACAGTTAGAAAAGCAGAGAGGTAAAGCGAAACAGAGGCGTGAAGCAATGTGAATCACAAGGAAAAGCACATCCAATCAGTCCCTTCATTCCATATTAATATGGCTTTAAAATTTTTGGGGTTATATTTTAAGGAAATGACGTGCATAATAGATGAAAATGTTGGTAGAAGGTGAAACAAGAAATCTGAAAAGAAACTGAGACTAGAGAAAGATGGCCACTGCAAGGAAATGTCAGGATGATAAAAGCAATTTATACACTAGCAGTCCTTTATTGTGAGAGGAAAATTGGTGACAAATGACATTCAAGGATGAAAAAGATGTGCATAGAACTTGATGAGCTTCTATTTCCGAGTACACTTAAGAATATTGAACAGTAATTACTTTGTTAATATTAGTTTTATTCTCATTGTCATACCCAGTGGCGGATCTTGACATTGAATTTTGAGGGAGCCGTTGTATATATATAAAGGGAAATTTAAAAAAAAAATGGGGGAGCCATCATTTATAAAAAGGGAAATTTAAAAAAAAAAATTAAGGGCCACAGAGCAAATTTTCCGAATTTTGGGGGAGCCAAGGCTCTCCCTGGCTCCTTACAGGTTCTGCCTCTGGTCATACCTGCGGCAGATAAAATTCCTTGAGTGAAGGCTCAAGAACATGATACACAACACTTTGGATCACAATAAATTAGGGCATAAACCAATGAAAAGAAAGAAATAAAGATCCAAAAACTTACTTGGGGAGTAGAGAGTAGTTCTGCATCATGTTTATTTAGTCGAGGAAGCAGAAGTACAAAATAGATCTTCCAAAAGCAACCTTCACTCATATATCCTGGGCAAAGTTCAATCCTAAGAGCAGCCAAACTTGGGGTAAGACGTTCAACAGCTAAGGCATGTTCTTGTTGCTCATCAGACATATCAAAATCTGATATTTCAAAACAATAAAAGGATTAAAGAAATTAGCCACAATCATACCGTTGATATATGCACAACCACATCGTTGAATTAAGGGTACAGCAGCCCTTTAGGAAAACCAAAATGGAAAAGAAGCGATACAGAAATATTCCATTAAATGCAGCTTCAGACAATACACCAAAATATTCACTAAGTTTCTGAAAAGCCTTGAATTTACAATATGCCTTTTTTGCCCTGTATGTCATCTAAATGATAGGGGGAAAATATGATTCAACCAAGACTTACATAACTAAAAACCTCAAGAGCATATTACCAAGAGCATATTACCAAGAAGTTTATTGCACTGAATGACAGAAATTCTCAAACCATGATCAAACTTATATACATTATATAAATATACACAAAAAGGTCTAAAATAAGACTCATGCGCAGTTCTGATAGTTGCTTTACAACCAAACAATTAGCCATCAACTCTTAATGTACACATAAGGCAGAAAGCGAGCATTTCACATGCCTGTGTCAAAGCAAACAAACTTAACTATACAGGGTTCGTTATCCAAGTCTCGTAGAGATATCAAACTTTAACGGATTTAGAAACCACAATGCAAAAAAGCAATTGAAAGATCCTTTATAGCAACCATAAAGGATCAAATTGTAAGTTACTTCATTTTATTATCCACTGATTTCAAAAAAAAAATTATACCATTCTATAATCAATGATCAATTTTCAATTATCAGCCACGCGTTACAAAATCTAGCATCAGAGTTAATCAAATAAAATTCAAAATTTGCAAAAGAACAAAAAGAAAAAGAAATTACACATAAAAAAAAGGTCTCAATGAAGGAACAAGAAGTCAGCTTGTTTCAAATGTTCATTATTCTAATTTAATTAGGCCAATAATCTAAAAATTATAAATTAAGTAAATTACCATCAAAATCACCATCATCGGGAATGGGGAAATCGAGCCAAGTTTCTGGATGCATCGCCATATCCCTGGCGAATGCGACCACTTCTTCGGTCACACCGACAGCGTATCCAATCGCGTGTTTTTCAGGACCATCTTCCTCGGACCCAAACTGAAGGAAATTCGAAGCGATCTTAGTGAACTCCGAGACGTTTATATTACTAGATAGATGCGAGATTCCACTCTTGAATTTTCCACCGATCTCCGATAAATCATTACGGATTCCAGCTATCAGTTCCTCATCGGACAACTCATCCGGATCATCAGATGGCGACCCGAGAGATTTTGCCTCCTCCACCAGAAGCTCGTGCTTTTGTTCCGTTGACTCTGGAGGAGTCGGAGCGAGGAAGGAAGCAACGCCCCAGAATTGACGCGTTAGGGTTTTGGTGAGCTCGGAGAGGTCGTCTTTGACGCCACGTGGAGTGTTGGGATCTGATGAGGCTTGGTTGGGATTCGCATCGGATTCGGAATTCGGATTTGCGGCTGCATTGGTTTGATCCTCTTCGTCTTCGTCAAGCTTGAGCGAGCTAGCAATCGATCTAGCTAACCACGACATTTCTTTATGGTTTCTCCCTTAAATTTGTATTGTAATTATGACTTGTATGGTTGGGAATACTTTGTTGACGGTGATAATAGGTAGAGGTGGATGCATTAGTCTTAAACGATAGCGTTTTCGTCTTCTTGCGCGTACTGTGGTTGTGTGTATCCATCACTAAGCCATTTTTCTAGAACTATAATCTAATTTGGTGGGATTTTGTTTAAGATGTAGAAAATTTAGGACATTATATAACATAAGATACTATTTTTCTTAATAATATCTTTTTGACATTAATATCAATAAAATATTTTTTTAATATAAGGTGATCACAATATAATATTTGTTCTATAGATCCTTAACAATTTGACAATAAAAATTGAATACCCTTGTAATCTTTAGAGCTCGAACTTAGAACTCCTAGGAATAATAATCATTATTTTAACTACTAAGTTAACTTAGTTCGTGCAATAAAATATTAGGTTAACTACATAATTGACCACTTATATTTATGTTTTATTCACTTTCCCTCATTGATTTCAAAAAATCTAATATATGATTACTTTTGTTTTTTATTTAATTAATATATAATTACTTTCATTTTATTTAATTAAAATGTAGTCACTACATATTAATTGTCGTTAACTGTTAATAGATTAGATGATGTGGTATTTTGATATTATCATATATTTGGTCCTTATTATTTATCTACTCTCCCAATTTAGTTTTACTTTTATAAATTAAACTAAATGCAATCCTTCAATCATGTCATTAGTGTCGTGTGTCATGATATGTCACCATTTGATTAGAAGATTAACTTTATTTCAATTTAATATATTTATTTTATCCTATTGTTAAAAGAAAACAAAACAAATTGGAGTTAAAGGAATTCAAACTTGGGTTTGTTGAAAACCAAGCATATACTCAACCATTAAACCAAGATCAATGGTTGGTTTAAAATAGACAAAATGATGTATATATTTTGTATCTAGTGTATAAATACTTAACTTATAATATTATATATATATATATATATATATATATTTATATTAATTTATTAAATATATTTTATTAAACTTAATTTAAAAATATTTTATTCTAATTTTAATTTAAAAATATATATTTTATTCCTATCTAAATTTAAAAAAATATATTTTACTATTATTTTATCTTTTCAAAGTATTTATTTTATCTTAATTTACTAAATATATTATAATATTAATTTAAATTATTAAATTTATTTTAATTTATTAAAAGTATAACTAAATTAAGAGAATATGTAAATAATAGGGACCAAATGTGTGATTATACCAAAATATTTAACTGGTACATCACCTAACCTATTAGCAATAGTTAACTCTTGGTTACAACATCTTAATTAAATAAAAATAAAATTAATTATATATTATGTTTTTTAAAATCAGTAAAAAGAAATAGACAAAATACAAATATAAGTGATCAATTATATAGTTAACCCTAAAATATTTTAAAATGCATATATTTTGATACTTTGGATTTTAAGTTTTGAGGTTTGGGTTTGGATAAAAAAGATATTGTTTTATTTTGAATTAAAGAAATAATTATTTTTGAGTAGTAAATTTTAATCAAATAAACTATTTAATTTATTTAATTTATTTAATTTAATGACTATAAATTAGTGTAAAATGTGTTAATTTTACAAAGTGTAAGTGAAACCTATCCCCATGTATGTATGTATATATATATATATATATATATATATTTATAATCTATAATCTGCATAAAAATATGAATTAAAATATGAATCAATAGAAGCATCGTTTATTTTTCATAATACTAAAAGATAAAATGAATTTAATCACCTACATTTTAGCAATACCTACAAGTCTAAAAATGTTTAAAATAAATGCTTCAAAAATAGGTTATAGAGGTATTCTAGAACATGTAAAAGATATAAAAAGATCATATAGTCCGGTTTATATTTATTTGGATATTGAAATTCAATTCAACAAAATTTTAGTACAATTAAAAAAATTATCAATTTTTTATGTATTAAAAGATTTTACTGCAAATCAACAAAAGAAATTTGTACAAAAAGATGTAAATATTTCTTGTAGAATTATTCTAATATTACTTGTAAATAAAAGAAATGTTTTATGATAATTAATTCTCAGGATTTCAAAAACAAACCAATTTAATGTTGTTGGAATCTATTTTCATCTTAGGGGTTGATCGGTCCATGGAATGTAAGATTACCATTGAGAATAAGATAACCAGAATGCTACATTACAGAGCACATTACTAGAATATTGTATTATCTTGTTTGGTTTATTTGATATGAATATAAGATTACAGTGTTTTGATGAAAGAATATAAGATAAAAAAATGTGTTTAACTAAATTTTCTTGAGATAAATTTTCTTTTTTAACAAATGAAAGTTTATAGAAAACATATTTTTTATTATTTTTAATTTATATTTTTAATAAATTTTGTACACAAATAACTTTAATTCACGAGATAATCCACTCTCCATATTAATTGCTGAGATAGGGTGAATGCTACAGTCCCCGTCGTTGGTCGCCAAGTGCTCCGAGCGAGGAAGGATGTCGCCATGGCATCCATGCGACCTGTGGTGAGAGAATGAAGCATTGTATACCTGCGAGGAAGAAGGTCGCCATGTACTCCGGGCGAGGAAGGAGGTTGCCATGGCATCCGTGCGACATGTGGTGCTTTGCATGCTCCATGCAACTCGCATGGGGTAGGTTGCCATGTACGCCCGGCGACCAGCGTTCACGCCTGCTCCTTCTGCACAATTCCCTGTTTCTGCTCCCTCAATGCGTGATTCACTGCCGCTACATGCCTATGCTCCTCCCATGCATCTATCATAGCTGCATTATTTGCAGCGTGAAATCACCTCACTAACGCTCAAATTGAATGCATTTCAACGCTCAAATTGGTTGCAGCTCACCAATGGTTCAAATTGATTGCAGCTCACCAACGACAAATAAGTGTGTTATATATTGAATATGGGGGGTTTAGGGTAGAAGCATAAGAAAGAAAGAAAGAAAATTTGACAAGAGGAAAGAAAGGAAAGGAAGAAGAAGAAAGGGAGATAAAGGCTCAAACATCATTTGTGAGGTAATTTTTTATTGTTTAAATTAGTTTATTATATGAAATTATTAGTTTGTTAGTTTATGGTTTAGGGTTTAATTTAGTTAATTAGTTTGTTAGTATAGATTATTAGTTTGTTAGTTTAAGTTATATTATATTAGTTTGTTAGTTTAAGTTATATTATATTAGTTTGTTAGTTTAAGTTATATATTATATTATATAAAAAATTAGTTAATTAGTTTCTTAGTTAAAGTTATTATATGTATAAAAATTATTTAATTAATTTTTAGTGTGTTTAAACGTATATTAGGTTGTTTGTTGAAGTTGAAGTTATAATTAGTGTTTAATTAGTTTGTTAGTTTGTTATTTTAACTAAGTTATATTACAATAAAGAAATATTTCATTAGTTTATTATAATATATTAGATTATATAAAATTAATTTGTATAAAATATTTTGTTTAGAGAAAAAATTTGTTTACACGAACAGAGCATTATTCCACAATTTTTGCCCACGTACAGATTGATTCGAAGAAAGAAACAAGAAAGGACCCTAATGCTTTTGTTGAACTTGGTCATACTTTTGTTGTGTCATGCATACGCCGTAACGTCGGAGGAGAAGACCAAACATTTAGAGTTGATTTGTGACACAAATGGTGTGATTGTGGTCGTTTTCAGGCATGGAAATATTCATGTGCTCATGCAGTCGCTGCATGTATGTATGCTGGTGTAAGCGCATACACTTATGTTGATGAATGCTTTCACCTACATAGGATATTAAATATCTACAGCTATGTGTTCAGACAGATCCCGAATGAATCATATTGGCCCAAAAAGGATCATGACGAATGACTGCCAATTCCAATGCTTCGTAGAAGTCCAAAGAGTCGACATGAGTCCACTCGTATTCATACCAGTATGGATTTCCATGCTAGAGAGAGAGGTCAAGCAAAGAGATGTGGATTATGTAGGGGTTTAGGCTATTCAAAAAACAATTGTCCTAATTTACCAAGATATAGGCCTCATCATTAGTAGTCATATATGTATTTTTATGTATTTATATATTTGATTTTATAATAATGAACCTATTTTTGCAAGGAAATTTATGTAATTTATGTTCTTAAATTAATAGATCTTCGAATTGAAGTTGAATTATAATAATAATTTATGTAATAATGATATGATTTGATTTAGTAATGATTTGATAATAATGATTTAATAATGAATTTATATTTAAAATTATAATAATGATTTAGTAATGATTACTAATAATGATTTATTATTAATATTTAATGATTTGATATTAATGATTTAGTAATGATTGATAATAAAGAAATTATTATTAATATTTAATGATTTGATAGTAATATTTAGTAATAATTAGTAATAATGAAATTATTAATATTTAATGTTTTGATTGTAATTATTTAGTAATTATTAGTAATAATGAAATTATAATAATGATTTAATAATTATTACTAATAATTATGGAATAATAATATTTCATGATTTGATAAATTATTGTATCTTCACATTGAAGTTGAATTTATGTAATTTTTATCGATAAATTATTCAAGCGTACTTTTTAAATAGTGAGACCTAATTAATATGACATTTACAATCCGAGGACTTGAACATATTTGAATGGACGTGTGGTTCAATTAACCCTATTTTAGTTACATAACTAATATCCATCCATGGAACACTGATTTGATTTATAATAATGATATGATTTCATTTAGTAATGATTTGATAATAAATAACAAATGAGTTTACAATTGTTGTCGATGCCGGGGTGTTGTTGAATGATAATGTCGGGGCGGACGTCTGATGCGTTGTGGTCATTACGGTTGCTCAAGAGTATGGTACACATCCTCCTCATTCATTGGGGGCATTTGAACTGCCATTCCACTAGTTTACGATTCATTCCCACCTGCAAACGTTGA